TGTTTTAAAGCAGCTGTTCTAGTGCCCTTTTGCACAGATATTCCTGAATTATATGGGGCTTGATCCAGCCAAATTAAGTCCTATTGACTTGCTTAATCTCTCCCTCTGAAATCAATGAGACTTGAATGTGCTTAACTTCGGCAAAGTCAGGCCTGTGATCTGTAAGGGTACTGGGTTTTTCTGGGTGGGGTGTGTAAGTGTGTGCAAGAAAGATGGACAGATTTGTGTGCAGTGATTGTGTTGTTTGTTGTTGTTGTTGTGTGTCATTCAACACCGCCACCCTACCAACCTCCAATTACTAGGAGAGTGTCTTAGCGGGATTCTCAGCAAACATGCACAGAATTTATCTCTGGAGACTCAACTATTGATATTGATATTTATTGCTACCAAAGATATGCATGGAAACTGAAAAGAGGTGCTGAATAACTACAGACACTCCATTTCTATCAAACCTATACTAATTAGGTTTTGTGAAATATGGATAGCAGAACATATGCACAGGGCCGTCTTAAGGATATGTGGCGCCGGAATGCAAAGATCCCCCCTTCCAGGTTGCCCAGAGTTGTCAACCTTTTTTTTAGGGGGGGGGACCCCATAGTTGTTGATCTTTTTTTAGGGTGGGCCGGCAAGACGTGCATGGCAAAGCTGGCCTGGCTAGCATCAGCATCAACAGAGGTGCCTGAGGCGGCGGCAGCAGAGCAAGTTGGGGGGGGGTCAAGCAGAGCCCAGTGCAACAACAGTTGAGCCCAAGGAGGCGGCGACTAAGCGAAGCCGGGTGCCTCGTGTGAGCAGTGTCTGCACGGTGGGCCTCTTGACGGTCCACCAGTCCCAGGCATGCAGGAGGCGGAGCCGGCCGGCTGCCTCAGCACCTCGCTCTCCTGCAGCAGAAGAGCTGCGGTGCTCCAACAGGCTCTGCTCCGCTCGGCAGTGGTTGTCAGCTCTTCCCAATCCCCAGACTCCAAATCTCGGCCCCGGACTCTCGGCCTGACTCCCCCGAGAGCCTGGCGCCCGGGTGCCCCTCACCCCTAGCACCTATGGGTAAGATGGCCCTGCATATGCACAGGAAGATTGTTTCTAAGGGTGCAATTCTGAATTCGGATCTGGTGGTCATGTGGTGGGCGTACCAGGGGCGTGTGCTGTGCTTGCTGATTGGCTGCTGCAGTGAGTATTGCTGTGTGCACTTTGTCCCCTGTTCCTGCACTGTCAGTTGCGTACTGCTTCCTATGAGCTTTCTCTGTCTGAGCTCATAGTTTGCACACACCTGATAAGGGTACCTGGGAACTCTCCCCTGCATGTTGACAGGTGGGTGCAGTTCCCATGGTGCTGCCAGCTGAGTTGGCTCTCTCTGTCTGGGTGGCTTGTTTCCACTCTGCTGGGCTAGGACCATCTCAGCTGGCATTTCCCCCTCCTAACCAAGCTCTGGAACTGGTGCATTTTATACTGGCTTAACTGAGGCTGGCACAAGTTACACCATCTTCCTGAGTTTAGGATTGCTCCCTAAGCTACTACCCTGCCTCCAGCATCTGATAATATCCAGATGCTTCAGATGATGCCACAAGGCCGTAAAGATGTGATTCATCCCTTGTTGTCCATTCCCAGCTCCTCAGCCAGTTTTTAGCACAAGCTATTACTCAAATAGAAATGTTTTAATTAATTCCAGTTAAAAGAAATTGGGGGTGGGGGTGGGGATGAGGAGTGTGCATGGATGTTCCTGTTTTCCAAAATCAGATCTCACAGAATTGTAAGGGGGGGGGGGGATAGAATCTGAAAGCCAGAAAGTGAAATTGATGGGAAACAGACCGGACTGGAAATGTCACTCCTGGGCTGAAACACAGCACATGCGAGACAAAAGGCTGTAATTTACAACTGAAATGAATTTGTCTTCCGCAATTGCCTTAAAATCCCCCCCCTTTTTTTGGCAGATCTTGATAAGAAACAATCAGTATTTGAGATTCCGTGATATTTAATATTTTCTTGTAGTGTTTGATATCTGACATGCAAGGGTTTTCAGAATTTGACAGCACTCAGTAGATGACATTCCGTGGCATGTAGTATTTCAAAACTAGACTTGAAACTGCAGAAGCATTGGTAGCTGATGTCTTCTTGGGCTGGTTTAGTGAAGTGGCTAATGATCCAATCTTATGTATCCAGTTTGTACTCTTCTTTTACCTGCTGAATTGAATTGGGAGGAAGAGGAAACTGCAGTCTCATACCCCCTGGGATATTTTTCATTTCCAGTTAAGAAAAGGCTAGAAGGACTATCCTATACCTTGCAGGCTTTCCCCACCATTGTCATCTCGTTCCCTTCTCAAAAGTCTTAGAAAAGGAAGGGAATTAACAGGAAAGCCTAGGAACAGGGTTGAACCCCATTTCTTCCTGCACTCGTAATTCAAAGGGCTCTACTCAAAATGAGGTGAGACTTTTTGAATTGGGGGATTCGAATTTTGAATTGAATTGTGAATCTTGCCTCCATCACTAAATATTCATTGCTTTCTGTCTTACTTTAGGGTATCCTTTTCCATGCTTAAAAGGTATCATAATGTCCAGAATAGTCTTTGCTCTACACTGGCACCTATTCCCTTCATTTTCTCTCCCCAGTGTCTTGCAATCTGTCTTTGCCACACCTCCCTACGTCCAAACCTATGTCTTTATTTTCTCTTTCAATGGGTGGTAACCAAATGTAAATTATGTTTTCCAGCTTTGGTATGAGCAGATTCTAAAATCTATTGGCAGGCTTAGGCTATGAAATCATGGCAGATCCCATTTTAGGGGATGCCAGTCTCTCTGCTTTCTCACATGACTGCGCTGAGGGAGGAAGGGCCCTTGACTGCAACACACCAGCCTCCATGAGGCAATATATCAAGGCATCCTGCTGACGAGAAGCGAGCACTTGTTTTATTGATGTGCAACATCAATTTTCTTGACTTTATGAGGAGGAGGCCAGCTCCCATTTCTGACAGCCAAGTCTCACAAATTTTCTTATTGGGAAACAAAACAAAAACCTGGTGGGTTCACAATTCTGAACCGCAAAACAGATGTGTAATTTTGTACTTCGTTTATTTGACCTAGACGTTAATAGAGTTCAATTCAGACAGTAACACATAATTTCTATGATTTTTAGTCTCTTTCTAGTATAGGGAAATGTATATTCCGATATTGGGACCAATAATGGGCCTTTAAAGTATTTGTGATTACGGTATCTTATTCCAAGGGGCTCAAGACAGTGCATATTGTTCTTTCTGCCTCATGGTATCCTGACAACAACCCTATGAGGCAGGCTAGATTTAGAGTCAGTGACTGGTCCAAGTTCACCCAATGGAGATTTGAACCTGCATTTTCCTGGTGACCTTGGTCCAACATTGTAACCACAACACTATGCAGGCTCTCACATGATCATCCACCTCCAGGAAGGAGCATTTGTGGTTTAAGAGGGAAACACATTAGTAAGATGACTCACTTTACTAGTGCATTTTGGAACAGGTTCAGTATGGAAGTGACTTCCACATCACACTATTAACCGTGAATTGGATCTCAGGTAAACCCTAATCTTAAAAAAAAAATTTTTTTGATGAAGTTTTATGTTTATTCAGGAAAGCAGATGTTCCTTTTTAAGGCTCTAGGCTGAGAAATGATATTGGTTCTCACTTTATATTCATAGTGTTATTGAAAGTCTGTGCAATACATTCAGCTCCTTAGCACCCTCCATCCAACAACTGAAAACCAGGCAACTGATTAAGCCTGAAGACAATTATTTCCTGAAACAACACACATCTTAACTGCTTCAGTGACTCTGAAAATTGAGCAGTAAGCTAACTGAACCTCCCTTACCCTTGCTGATGGGCTGGTTAGTTGAAATGCTGTGGTCATTTACAAAAGAAATGTGCTTTTGCAGCAAACTACTCAAGCAGGGTTTGAGGTTGTGCGCTGGCGCTAGAAGACTCAGGAGTCAAAACCTGTTATTAAAAAATAAAACACTGACATATGGATTGTTTATGCCTTGAATGTCAGGCCAATCTATCCTGGAAATTAAAAGTGGTATTCAACTAACGTGTCCCATCAGTGCAATGATTTCTGTTTTGTGCATTTAAAGCGTAATCCATAAAATTTGCACTTTCTGAAACTGTATGAACTGAAACACAGCTATCCTTCCCAATTCACACTTTGCCGAATTTTGAGATGCAGTTCTATAATGAACAATGTTTACAAAAATGCATATATTGGGGGGAAGTGTGCATAAAAATGAAGATATTAGTGAAAATATCATACAAAAACATCATATTAGGGGGAAATGTTTGCAAAAATGTGTACATTAGTCAAAACTGCATAAAGTGTGTCTTTGTGGGTTTGTTATATACTGAGAAAACTCTTGAGTTTGGAGAAGTTTCTACAACTTAGAAAAACTACAGAGGATCTTTCCATGTAGAGTAATAAGATGAATATGGGGGGTGGAATCCAGCAAAAGTTAAACACATAATCAGTGCAATCCTATCCACATTTACTTGAAAGTAAGCCCCCGTGTATTCGATGGGATTCAGTCTTGTTTCCACATTGTCTGAGACTAAATCAATGAGAGTCACCTCTGAGTAGACGTGTTAAGGTTATGTCATCGGTCTCATGGGTTTCAGTGGAAGAAATAAGTGCATGCTTAACTCTGTCCTGATGACATCAGAGGTACCTTAAAGCAGAGCTGAAGCTATGGCCGGGGGGGGGGGGAGGGCTAGCCGGGGGCGGTTTGCCCTGGGTGAAGCCTCCAGAGGGGTGCCATTGAGGCTCCCAGCCTCTGTGTACACAAATGCACTGGGGTGTGTGTGCCAAACTGACTTTTGATGTGGCTGAAATAAAGCCTAGTTTTGCCCCTGCCTTAAAGTACTTAACTTGGCCAGATTGTGCCCTGAATTTTACCTCCCATCATGTGTTTGTGTGAGAGAGAGTGAGCCTACAGAACAGAGGCAAATCAGCAGATTTGTGACTAATAGCATTAAGGAGAGGCGAATGCACCCTTATTTGTGGAAGGCCTCCATGGCGTATATTTTCCTCATAATGTAATAATGCAGTTGAATTTTATCTTCACAGACTTGTGTGTGCAATGTATTGGATAAACCTTTATAGAGGAGGCCAAAGTGAGCAATATATGCTGCACCTTTCAGCGCAGCTACATCAAATTTGGTCTCCTCTCCCCGGAGAGCTGTACCTGTGCAACTGCCATTCAGTTCAATAGGCTTCTGATGAGGCATCACTTTGAGGATGGGGCTGTTGTCATTAGCTGGTGCAGCTGGGGAGGGGGGATAATCCCAAAAGGTTCAGTAAATAAGTTTTAAATTTAGCCTTCTAGCAAAATTTTGAATGTATTATTTACTTTTTGGATCCAGTTCCTGAATCCGCACTAAAGCTCCATAGCATAATCAATTATGGATTTATTGCAATGTACAATAGAATCCAATTTCCAGGGATTGCCTCGGGAGATGTTTTAGGATGATGATAAAACTAACAGTAATAGGTCTACAACTGCTAGAGTTAATTTCCACAGCCGCTAATTTTATAAATAACTAGAAAGAATGCCAGCTCCCAGCTACCTAGCCTGTGGCTCCATGCTGACAGGCCAGAATTCTCCTCTCCCAAATATATGCCCCTCTCTCTCCACACCGAGATTTCATTCTTAAATTTTGTACGGTAATGCGAGAATTACCTGGAAGAAAGGAAGCACCAATCCAGACTTGTCCGATGCCATCCTTTCCTCCAAGAAGCAGATGGCATCTGGCACCTCACACAAACTCAGCCTAAGCAGTTGTGGGGACTGCCAGCAGCTGGCACAAATTTCTGGACCAGCTGAATATGTGCAAGCAATCTGCCAATGACCCATGTAACCCAGAGAGGATTGAATGGCTGATTGGAGCCATCACGGGTGTGAATACTTCATTGCAATCAGCACTGGATTTGAGGACATGCCATCCTTGAGATATCTGCTCCACAAGGGATGAAGCATCTTTTAATACTTCTTGTAGCCTTGGAACAGTGTTTTCACCGTTTTGGGGGCTACTCCACTTCCAGTGCCCTTCAGCTGCTGGGTACGACAATGGGAGGGGCTGTCGCTCAGTGGTAGCACATGTGCTGTGCATGCAAAAGGTCACAGGTTCAATCCCCAGCCTCTCCAGGTAGGGGTGGCAGGGTGGCATAGTGGCTAGAGTGCTGCTCTCAGCTTATTCTACCTCGCAGGAGCATTATGTGTATGAAATGGAGTGGGGGGTGAGGGTGGGAAGAAGCATCATGCTTGCCATCTTCACCTCCTTGTAGGAAGAGCAGGATATGAACGCAATCATAGGGTGTCACTAGATTTAGAGATCATCCAGGGGTAGAATTTTGCAGCTTGACTATGTGAATAGCACTGGCAGCATTAAACTCCACAGCTAAGTCTTCTGTATGTGAGGAAAGTATAACATAATCAGATTGCCCTTGGAGATTGTCAGGTGCTCCTGAGATAATATGGAGGCAAAAAGGTTGATAAGAGAACAATGTGGGCTTTTTAATTAGAGATAGAGAAGCCTCCTGATCGGTTCATGCCCCACAAAAGCCCAGCCTGCTTTCTTTCCAAAGCTTTTTATCCATGACCAAATTATGCTTTCCCCACTTTTTTATATTAAAACTGCTCATCTGAGACTATTCTTAGTATGTCCCACCCAGAGAGCTAGTTAGATATTAAGGGTGGGGGAAACCAGGTATGTAATATATTAACAGCTTTAGAAAGTGGAAGCAGAGATAAAACGTGTTGTTTTCCATAAGAGCGACACCCTTTGTGAGACGTTATTAAATCCCATGCTCTACTTTAATATATGGGCAATGATAATCTCAGTTTGAGACAAAAGGCAATCACACAATGGTAAGTTGCTAGGTGCTCAGAGGACTTGGGGCACAGGCCCATGACGCAGATTTGCATATGCTAATTTATACATATAGATGTGTCTGTGGGGAAAGCGGTAGACAGTGGTGGATGGCATGACAGAGCAGAGACCTCCTAGAAGAAGAGTTGCTGCTGTTTACCAGAATGGGGAAAGGTGAGATGGCAGGTAGGGCATCGCAGTGCAAACACATTGGCAGGAGCACTGGATCAGCTGTGCTGGTGCATTTGCACTATGCTGCTCTCCCTTTCCACCTTGCTTCTCCCCCTCCTGGTAAGCAGCGACTCATCATGCCATCCAAGACCAGTGCCGGATTTACGTATAAGCTAAACAAGCTATAGCTTAGGGCCCCACTCTCTTGGGCCCCCCCAAAAAATTTAAAGGAAAAAAACAACTGGATGTACATTTCCAAAATATAAGATAAAAAACAAATAAAATAAAACCTACATACAGCAACAGTGTTTTGTGTTGTGTGGGCTCCTATGATGTAAGTAATGGGCCCCCAACCATTTTAAGTAAGAGCTTAATAATTATTTAACTATTAATATATAAGCTGAGGCTCCAATACTTTGGCCACCTCATGAGAAGAGAAGACTCCCTGGAAAAGACCCTGATGTTGGGAAAGATGGAGGGCACACACAGAAGGGGACGACGGAGGACGAGATGGTTGGACAGCGTTCTCGAAGCTACAAACATGAGTCTGACCAAACTGCGGGAGGCAGTGGAAGACAGGGGTGCCTGGCATGCTCTGGTCCATGGGGTCACGAAGAGTTGGACACAACTAAATGACTAAACAACAACAACAAATTGTATTTCAGTGCAACAATTACTTTGATAAAATACATATTTTGTTATGTGCAAATGGCTTTAGATACCTATTAGGTCCATAAATTACCATATAGCATATATTCAACACAAAAAAGTGACAATTTGTTGTTGGCAAAGGCCCCATTACCTTCAGTAGCTTAGGGACTCGTCAGACCTAAATCCTGCCCTGTCCAGGACCTGCTAACGACTTACAGTGGTGCCTCGGGTTAGGAACTTAATTCGTTCTGGAGGTCCGTTCTTAACCTGAAACTGTTCTTAACTCGAGGTACCACTTTAGCTAATGGGGCCTCCTGCTGCTGCTGCCGCCCCCCCATTTCTTTTCTCATCCTGAAGCAACGTTCTTAACCTGAGGTAATATTTCTGGGTTAGTGGAGTTTGTAACCTGAAGCATCTGTAACCTGAAGCATCTGTAACCCGAGGTACCACTGTAATTGCTTGTGTGCCCTAGGCCTGCCCCTAAGAACACTTTTGCACAACCATAGCATTGCGCTGCTGACCTTTGACACTCCCCACGGTTTGTGGGGATCAGCATTCTAGCCAAAGTGGATCACACAAACCTGAAGCAGAGGCAGATTTTGGGGAGTGCGACTGGCTCAACCACACTGGGTGCTGAGCCAAACAACAGAAGGTGAAAGATAGTAGTGGGGGGCTTTGAATTTAGGCATCACACAGGGGGCCGCTGAAATTTTAAAGCCCAAAGTCTGCCACCGCCTAAAGTCTATCTTCTTCTGCCTTAATTCATCTCTTTAGCTGTGAGAGGAGGGATCACCCTCTCATTGCTCTGATGGTTAATCCTCAAGAGAGATATGGAGAAGGCATTAACCACATATCTAGGCCATTAGCCAGTCATATGCTTAGCAAAAGGGATGTCCAATACATCTCTCTCTCTCTCTCTCTCTCTCTCTCTCTCTCTCTCTCTGTGTGTGTGTGTTTTTAAACTGGAACTTGGGATAGTGACAATAAATAAAATGTTTATGTGACTGGCAGGGGTGGGAGGGAAATGCAGTGATATTGGTTTCTTGGATAAATGCTCTTTTCTCATACCCTCAGCTCTGAATTTCTCATGCACATACAAGATGGGAGGCACTGATAAATCTAGAAAGCCACATATGCCAGCCTCCTCATACGTTTTCAGTGCACAATGACAGGGATCTAAATTGCTTTATTCTGATTAGTGAAGGTCCCTTGACTGTAAAATATACACTGCAGGAAAAAAGATTGAGTTTTACTTCCTTTGACACATCAATTTGGAAGAATTATAGCTCTCACACAGGGTCCAAAGCATGTATCTACCTTCATGCATGTGCTCTAGAAGCTAATTACCAGCATATATATTGAGGAAGGAAGATGCCGTTAGTGTTCTAGAGACCTACAAGTAATTAAATGCTGGTGGCATCCCCTCCCCCCATCAATTTTTAGACCACTGAGCTGCAATTTTCAAATATCTCCAAAAGAACAATGGAAAAAGTTGATTTAAGAACAAAATAGAATAAATGAGTCTTCCATTGGCCAAAACCTTCATTCCCTCCCCCTTTACAGATTCTCAAGCCAGTTTCCATATACTGCATCCTACCAGAAATAAGAAAGAGCACACAAATAATTGGGTGTGCTCCATTTACAGAACAGCATTGCATGATGTGCACATCCAACTGTCAGAGCTAGTGGCAATTATTCCTTTGCAATTTCTCCATCAGAACATTTCCCAGAATCAAACATGTCCTTTAAACATTTGACCAGGGTGGGTGGGGATATTTTAAAACTATTTGTTAAATTATTATGAGGATCTAAACACCCACCCACCCCAAAAATATCACAATGAGTAGTTCCTGAGCAGGGTTGTGCAGAGTGAGTAACAATGACAATTTAAACAATGCATTTATGCAGATGAAATTTGACCTGCCAGAAACCTCAGTTTTTTGGACTTCTATCCTTCTCTTTAAAACCTACCAAATAATATAGGCAGTGGGGCTTGCCTTGGACTCCCAAGTAAAATTCTGGCGCTCTGGTGTGTGTGTGTGGAAATGGATTAGCGTCAGAAATCAAACTGTGTGTGAAAAGGTACTTTGGATGGACCTGGAATATTGAGTTTAGTGTATCTTTGTGGTGTTCATCAGCTGTTATCCTAGCACCATTTTTTGAAAGTTAGGTCCCCCACTTCTAGGAACAAAAGCAATCAGATTTGGCTATATGTTGGCATCCCAGAAGTTAAATTAAGCTAATTCTGTGTGAGGGAATGCTTCCTGAAAATGCATTGCTGTCTTATGGTCTTGTAGCTTGTGAAGTCATCCCAGACATTTTGCTACCAAATGGCAAAAGCCACCCCTGCCTCTGACCCCTGCTAGAGCCAACACTTCAAGAGGTCTTGCTGCAACATTCCTGCCTTCACCTATCACCCCTTTCCCTTTCCCTTTGGCTCAGCTCACAAAGCTTCCTTATGGCTAGTTTTGAGTTTCTCATATACTCAATAGAATTGTAGAATGGTAGAGTTGGAAGGGGCCCTGAGCATAATCTAGTCCAACCCCCTGCAATGCAGAAATATGCAGCTATTACACATGGGAATCAAACCTGCACTCTTGGTGTTATCAGCACCACGCTCTAACCAGCTGTGCTATCCAAGGAGATGCTTTAAATGCCCCCCAATTGTCTGGATGCGGCCAGCAACTGAATACCAACTGCTACTGCTGCACTGTGTGTCCAGCTAAGCCAAGGTGGCTAAATGAGTGTGCAAGCTTCCCGGCTGCACAACACTCTTCACCAGGCAGCCAACGAATTCTGCGAACTTGACAAAGAGATCAGCGTAACAGGGTAACTTTGCCAGCCCGGTGGAGCACTCTGTGCGACTTTTCCCCCTCCTCTTTTTCCAAGCACCCCTTTCGACAACAGCCGTTTGACAAACGAAACGGTACGTGCATACCTATTTTGTATCTGTAATTCTCAAAGCAGCTGCACTAGCCCAGGGGAAATGTACTTGAAGGCATCGTCTCTGTCTCACTTCTTATGGGTATCAAAGACACCACACGTAACAAGAAGCTGAGCAATTTAGTGGGGATTTACACACATTAACTCCTCTAAAGAAAAATCAAATGCTTTTTCACAGTGCCGGCTGAACTGAGCTGGCTGTGTCATCCGCGCTGTCCCCTTCGCCGCCGCCTGAACGCAGACAGCTCATGCAGCGAATGATGAATTGGAAAAGCTGCAGTGCGCGATGCTGGTGTAAGCCACATGGGGAGTACAAACGCAGAGAAAAGCCGCTCGCATGAAGGGACTTAAACCCAAAGCCACTTTGATTGGGGAAAGAACTCCCCGCATGCTGAGCATGATCTGGAGGAGGGTTGGGGGAGAGAACCTTCACCGCAGCCTTTGTGTTAAACCCCACCATGAGCCACACTCACACGGCTCTTTAGAAGTTGGCTGCCATTAAAACCTAAACAAAAGCAGCGAGCAAATGCAGCTTTGACTTTCGGTCGTTCCTCTCGATTTCAGACCAACTGCTCAATAGCTGCTTTGCAGGCCAAGTGGCACTCCCCACCCCAGTCAAGAGAAGGACTTCAGCCTGCCTTAAATGTAAGGGGCTGGATGGAGGGAACTTTCCAACCAATAGCACCCAGATTCTTGTAGTCATTGAGCAGAAAACATTCTTTACAGGGCCAAATTTGCAGTGCCTAATGCGCCAAAGGAAGGGAGCAATGGCAGGGCGTTGGGTGAAAAAGCTGCGTACACCATGAAGTCAGCTTTGCGCGTGCGCGCACACACACAGTTTGCCTACTGCCTTCAGCAATGGTGGATGGGTGACACTGTACCATCACCAGTGTCAAAGTCACATTCAGTTGGCTTCTGATAGCAGACCTGTATATATATGTGTGTGTGCCATCTTTGCCTTGGGCAGAGAAAGGTCTTGGCCACTTTCTGATTATTTATATACTAATAGAGAATTGTGAACATTCCTAGAATAGTTTGTAGGTGTGCTTTGCAGTACCTTTACTTGTTCCCCATTGCCCATATAGACATACCACTCAGATGCATTTACCTGCATTCATGCATGCATCACACACATACCCTTAATGCTAATGATGCACCCAACATTTGCAACCTTTGGTATTCAGCTTGAAATATATGCTTTCCATGGCAGTAAATTGTCCAATGAAGTGTGCTCAAACAACTTTGTAAGAAGCGTTTTTGAAAGAGCAGTTTTATGGCATTTCCTTCCCCCTCCCCTTCACAATGACTTACTCAAATAAGATCCCATTGGTTTCCACATCCAGATTAGATATACAGTGGTACCTCGGGTTATATATGCTTCAGGTTACAGACTCCGCTAACCCAGAAATAGTACCTCGGGTTAAGAACTTTGCTTCAGAAATCGCATGATGGCGGCGCGTCGGCAGCAGGAGGCCCCATTAGCTAAAGTGGTGCTTCAGGTTAAGAACAGTTTCAGGTTTAGAATGGACCTCCAGAATGAGTTAAGTTCTTAACCCGAGGTACCACTGTATATAAGGATCGAAGTCGAGCCTGGTGGATCAGGCCAGTGACCCATCTAGTCCAGCATCCTGTTCTCACAGTGGCCAACCAGATGCCTATGGGAAGCCTTCAAGCTGTACATGATCCCAACAGCACTCTGCCTACCTGAGATTCCCAGCAGCTGGTGTTCAGAGCCATAATGCCTCTGACAATGGAGGTAGAACATAGACATTTTGGCTTGCAGCCCTTGTTGGTGGCGTCTATAATTTAGATTATATAGGATGCAATTTAAACATTTCCCAGGATTGCTGCATTATATTGTCACTCTGCTGCTGCTAAATTTGGCATCTTTTTGCCAAACCATGACTGCTTAAAGTGGCATGAAGCTGCTTTACAACGTATGGTCCAGAGGTGGCCTGAAAGTGCAAATCCCATGGCATGATCCTGTGTTGCTGGATTTGACTGTGAGTTGCAGTCTGGCCTTCTGGGAGAACCTAGCAACACAGGTGTAGGAATAAGTGGGAGGGAATTCATCCTAGAGGGATTCTTGACCTCAGATATGTAGCTGGGTGTGGAGAACATGCTTTGGTCATCATTGTGTTTCAGTTGTGTGGTGGTCAATTTCACCAGAAGTAAAATGGTGCAGGGAAGTATGTACAAACCTGGCTAATTTAAATTCCCCATATAATATTATGGGAGAAAGGGTAAATATTCTTTTATCCACACCAAAAATGCAAAGCCGCTTCTCCCAGGGAGCTTGTCCCTCAGCATCTTGAATGGATAATCAGAGTGTGCTGGCATTCAGCGGTAATCAATTAGCACCTACTTTAGATTAAATTGAGAATATGTAAATTGGGCTTCTCATCAGGCTGCACAGTCAACATTTCAGAGAGATTTGCCCTGCTGCAGAAGCATTCAAAATAAATGAAGCACAGAAATCTTTTGTAGAGTAGAGAGCAGCGGCTGGTGAGCTGCGCCTTAACTCTACAGCCTTTTGAAAGAAGCTGCCGTTGTCCAGTTTGATCGAGGCCAATCCCTCTGGCCAAGGTTACCTCGCTGTGAGATGGATGTGTGCCATTTAAGCATCATCACAAATCATGGCATATCGGTTGTGTGCCGGCAAGTATGCTGTAACGTTGCTTGCCTGTCAGTGGTCATAAATGTTCCCTGCTGAGACACACTGTCCCTGCGTGTAGAGAATGGTGCTAAGTGGACCAGAACTGTTTTACACGCTACAGGAAGGCAGAAAAAGAGAACACAATGGGCAGTGTTTCTATCTTACTGGAGGAATGGTTTGTGCTTCTCAGTCCCCTTCAGAATGGACCAAGAGCCACATAATGTTTACATGGAAGATGCATACAATTCTAAACAGACTTTTGGAATTAATAAACACGTACAAATAATAACTTTTAACCAATTCAGCCTTTTCCTGATGCAAAACAAACACTAGGCCTTTCCACCTCTAAAACTGGCTATCAACCTATTTTATGCAGATGTTGTGAGGATTAATGGATATTTTTACAGTAAGTCATGGATCTTAACGGTTGGTGCAGCTAATTATAAAGGCAGGGAACCAAAGACTCAGTATGCACGTTGTCAGAGCTGCTTCCAGATCCTAGCTCACAGAGGATCACGCTAGCCAGCGATCATTAAACAAAAGTCTTTATTGAGTTACAGTTTCCATTCTCAAGCTGCTGCGTGCAACTCTACGTCTCATGGTTAGATCGGCGAAGCTCCGTCTGAGTCTCCGCCCCTTGTACACCAACTTAATATCCTAGCCCTGCTCCACCTTTTCCGCCTGACTGTTCTTCTCTGGGTCCCTCTGCCCCCCGGGGTCTCTTCCTTCCGGGATTCCTCTGACGCTGACGCTGACCCCCCTGACTCTTCTCCCTCCTTTCGGCGGGCTTTAGGACCTGGCTCCCTTTCCGGGCTGCCTACTGCGCCACCTTCCTGTGCATTTGAACTTGGCGCGCGCCCAACCTTCCACCTTCCGTCTGACCGTTTCTTCGCTCCCCGATGGAGGTGTGGCCACTCCTGACTCGTGCCCTCCCCCCTGTTGTGAGTTGCCAGCGCTTGATCCCTGGCGCCCTTCCTCTTCCCTGCTCTCTGGCGGTGACGCTGGTCCCGATTTCCAACTGCTCCCCTCTGAGTCCCCTCTGGCTCTATCTTCCTGGGGTGTCCCCTAGGCTCCCCCTTGCCCTGGCCACTGGTGCTCCTTTCTGTGAATCTTCTGATTCACTGGAAAGACTCGGAGATCTCGGGTCGTCGTCATCACTCATCTTTTCTTCTGCCTCCTCCCCTCGCTCTCTGTTTCCTCCCTTGCCCTTGCCTCTGCTCCTGAACCCCTGACATCCATCCCCCTCGAAGCCCCCTCTTCCCCCTCCCCTCCTTCCGGTGCGGGATCTGGGTGCTGCCGTGTCAGGGGACGAATGTCGGATACAGTTCGCTTCCCGTGGCGGGCCGCCATCTGAAGTCTTCCGGTTCTTCCTCCCTGCTCTCGTTGACGACGGTCACCTCCGCTTCCATCTCTGTGCCGCCGTGCTCGAAACCCGGGTCGTCCCCGAAAAGGTCCATGTCCGTCTCTCCCTCGTTGCCTTCTGGAGACGTTGCTCGTCCTGGACCCTCCAGCCACCTTCTACGGAACTGCTCCTCTGGTCGATCATCCCACCAATACGAGGGTTCTGAAGCAGATCCTGAGGGTGACCCCTCCGGGAACGGGCGTCTCGTGTCGGTTCCTCGTCCGAGTCGAACCCCGGAACGTGCTGGCTGAAAGCGTGGGCGTGAAAAGCCAGTCGTCGAAAAAGTCTGCTGGCATTGGCCTATGTGGGAAGAGGGCATGAAACTCTTCTTTGAGCAGAGGTTCGTCTAAGCGTAGCCCGGCACCCAGCTGTTGGCACTGGCCGGGGTGCCCTCCTTGGCGAGAAGGTATTCTACCCCCTCTTCCCCCCATCTGGAGTCCAAAATCTCCGTGACTTCGTTGATGCGCTCCTCCCGTGCCACTCCCCTGCCCGGTTCTCTCTCGGAGCGGACCCGGTGCCGTTCCTGGTTCCTGAAACCTGTGAGGTGCCTTGTAGGGAGTGAGCACCGATCTGTGGAACACCGGATGCATTCTGGAACCCTCCGGAAGAGCCAGCCTGAAAGCCACCGGGTTGACCTGTTCTTCGACTTGGTAGGGCCCCAGTTGTTTATGCCCTAGTTTCTTCTTCGCCAACGACCTGGCCGGCACTGCGTGGGCTGCTAACCAGACCCAGTCTCCCACATGGATCTCTTCGCCAACCCTTCTGTGTTTGTCCGCTTGTACCTTGTATGCGTGTTTAGCCAGCTCCAGGTGCCGCCGCAGCTGATCGTGGACCTCCTGCAACTTTCCAGTCCCGGGAAGGTTCTGGGGTGCCTCCCGTTGTTGGCGAAGAACGGCGTGACCCCCGTGGACACGTGCTTCGTGTTGTTGTAGGCGAACTCGGCGAGAGGCAGGTAATCCACCCACGTCGCAGGCTGTTGATTCGCATAACATCTCAGGTACTGCTGCATGATGGCATTGACCCGCTCCGCTTGCCCATTGGTCTGCGGGTGTCTAGCCGACGCCAGGTTGATCTTGACGTTCAGGAAGCCCATCAGCCTCTGCCAGAAGTTCGAGATGAACTGTCGCCCTCGGTCGGACAGAATAGACCGCGGCAGACCGTGAACCTTGAACACGTGGTCTATGAACAGTTTGGCGGTTTGTTCCGCCGTGGCCACCTTCGCACACGGAATGAAATGTGCCATCTTGGAGAACAAGTCCACCACCACCAGCACAGCCGTCTTGCCCCTCGAGCTGGGCAGATCCGTGACAAAGTCCAGGGCCACTCTCTCCCATGGTTCGAACGGAGTTTGCAGCGGTTCCAGCAGTCCGGCCGGCGGTCTGTGCACTGGTTTGGCCCTCTGGCAGGTGTCACACCTCGCCACGTAGTCCGCGACTTCCCTTCTCATTCCTGGCCACCAGAAGTCTCTGGCTACTAATTCCACCGTTTTCTCCTTGCCAAAGTGCCCGGCAGTGGGCGCGTCGTGCAGCTGCTGCAGTACCTTGGCGCGAAGTTCGTCTCCCGGCACGTAGATGGCCCCTTTACGGATGAGCAAACCATCTCGCAGCTGGAACTCGTCGGTCGCTGCCGTGCCCCTGTGCGCCTCTGCCATCTTTGCTTGCGCGAAGGAGTCATCCTGCAACGCTCGTCGCACCGCCTCCAGGTCAACTGTTGCCGCCGTGCACGCCCACACTGTCGGTGCGAAGATGTGCATGGCGGCCGCTGGCGTTGCCTCCTCCAAATACTGTGGCTTACGGGAGAGAGCATCCGCCATGATGTTGGTGTCCCCGGGACATACTCTATTCGGAAGTCGAAATTCGCAAAGAACTCAGCCCAACGTATCTGCCTCTGGTTCAGGAACTGTGCCGTGCGCCAGTGCTCTAGATTCTTGTGGTCCGTGCAGACCTGCACCGTGTGCTTGGCGCCGATCAGGAAGTGCCTCCACGCTTTGAACGCTGCATGAATGGCCAGCAACTCCCTGTCCCAGATGGTGTAGTTCTGTTCGGACTTGCTGAGCTTCCTTGAGTAAAACGCTCCCGGCCTCCAAACCCCTGCGGGTCCTTCTGCAGCAGGACTGCTCCCACGGCTCTGTCCGAGCGTCTGTCTCCACCCTCATCGGCCTGCTGGGGTTGACATGAAGCAGTTGCTCTTCCGACGCGAAGAGACGGCATGAGTGCCTGAAAGGACTGCTCCGCCTGCTCTGTCCAGATGAACTTCTTTTTCTTGGAGCTGAGCGTGTCCGTGATGGCCGCTGTCTGCATGGCAAAGCCTTTGATAAACTTGCGATAGAAGTTCGCAAAGCCGACAAACCGTTGGACCTCCTTCCGGTTGCGTGGGCTTTTCCAATCCAACACTGCTCGGACCTTGGTGCTGTCCATGGCGAGCCCTTTATCAGACAACTTGTAGCCCAGGAAATCCACCTCCGTCACGTCGAATTGGCACTTCTCCAGCTTGGCGTAAAGCCTATGTTGCTGTAGCCTGCTCAGCACTTCCTTGACGTGCCTGTCATGCTCCTGCTGCGATTCCGAAAAGATCAGGATGTCATCCAAGAAACAGACGCACGTCTTGTAGAGGAGCCCCGCCAACACGTGATGCATGAAAGCTTGACATCCGTGGGAACCATTTTGCAATCCAAAAGGCATAACTCTATATTCGTAGGTGCCCAGGGGCGTGAACATGGCTGTCTTCCACTCATCTCCTTCCCGCATGCGAATGAGGTTGTACGCCCCTCGCAGGTCCAACTTGGTGAACACGCTGCCCTTCCGTACCTTTGCGAGGAGGTCGTCGATTCGGGGCATGGGGAAGTCCGATGGCTTGGTCACGCTGTTCAAAATGCGATAGTCCACTACAAGTCTTTTTGGGGCGTGTCCCGCTTCTTAACAAAGAATACCGGACTGCCCCCGCTGCCTTGGACTCTCGGATGAAACCGCGCTCCAAATTATGATCTATGAACTCTTTGAGTTCCTGCAGTTCGTCCTCAGACATGGAATACAACTTCCCTTTGGGCAGCGCCGCCCCGGCAGCAGGTCAATTCTGCAGTCATATGGTCTGTGGGGGGGTAGCCTGTCTGCCTCCTTCTCACAGAAAACCTCCAAAATGCTGCGTACTTGTGGGGAACCGCTTGCAGCGTGCCTAGCTGCAGCTGTGACTCCTCTTCCTCTCCTTCCTGCCGGGGCACGATGCAGTGTTCAGCGCAAAGGAAGAGCCGAAGGTCAGCTGCCTCTGGTACCAAGCCAGCGTCGGGCTGTGCTTGTCCAGCCAACTCATGCCCAATACAATGGGCGTGTCCGATAGTTGAGTGACATTGAAGCTGATGATTTCCCTGTGATTCCCAAGTCTCATCACCATTGGTGGCGTCTGCTTCACCACTTGCCCCCCTAGCAGCTCCCTGCCATCCACCGTGACAACCTGCAGGGGCAGCGTGGCAGGCAGCAACTGTATAGCGTGCCGGTCGACAAAGTCCTGCCCTATAAAGTCCGCATTGCTTCCGGAGTCAATGGTGATTGGCACGTCCATGGTGATGCCATTGGGCAGCTGGAGCGACGCGGTGAGCCTCACTACTGGTTGGGGGTCCATGGGCTGTAAAATCTCTGGGGACTGCTTCACTGACACGTCTGGCTGGGCCCCAGTGCCTCTTTCTCCAGCCAGACTCCGTCGTTTCCCTGCCGTGGTTCTCCTTGCTGCGTTGCTGCAGTTACCATTGCTGAGGCTGCAGTGTGCTTGTGGAGCCTCTGGGGACACTCTTTCGCCATATGCTGTGGATCATCGCAGATGTAACACTTCCTGTTCCCTCTAGGAGGCTTCGCTTTCACTGCTGCCGGTGCTAGGGCTCTGGCTGCTGACTGAGCCCTTGCACCTCCAACCTCCATAGGTTCCGCTCCTCCTCCTGGCGGAGGCGTGGATTGCGCACGCGCTGCTTCTCTGGGAAGGAAGGAGGAGCCCCTGGCTGGTTCGCGCCCTCCACGCCCTTCGTCCCTGCTCCACGGACGTTCTTCCAGCCGCACCCCACCGCCAGCGCCCTCTGAACGATCTCCTGCGTGGTCCGGGGTCTCTCCCCTCGCAATTTCATCTTTAACCGAGCCGTGCAATCCCTCCCAAAACAGGTCTCTTACAGGAGCCGAATCTCTGTCCCATTCCAGAGCACTGACCAAAGCGAAAAGCGGGCATGGTACTGCCTTACGCTGGCCCTCCCTTGCTTCAGTCCATGTATCTGCTGCCGAGCAAGATCCACGTCAATGCTTGATAAAAGCACCCATCCATCGCTTTAATAAAGGCATCCGCATTTTGGAGCGCCGGATCCTTATCTCTCCACAAATTGCGCAGCCATGCTTTAGCATCTCCATGCAAATGGGACATGATGAATCCCACCTTCTCTTGCTCATCTCTAAAGTCTTTGTTCAGCAGTTGCAGTGCACACATTACATCTGCTCTAAAGTTGGGGTACTGTTGCAAATTCCCATCGAAGTGAGAGACCAGACCGCCTGTTCGTCTCCCCAACCCAATCCCCTCCGGTTTGGGTGTCAGTTGCCCTTGCTTCGTAAGCACTTCCAACCTGACCTGGAGATCCCTGTAGGCGGCAGCTGCGTCCTCCTCTCTCTTCCTGGATGCAAGAGCCTCGGCATTCAGTCGTGACACTGCTTCTCTGAGTTCCGCTATCTGCTGTTCGGCCGTCATATTGTCTGCCGTTCGTGAGCTCGCTAGTAGGCACCCGCTTTCTCTCCTCTCCGCGAGGCCGTAGATGCCCACAATTTAGGGGACGGAGCTTACTGTCAGAGCTGCTTCCAGATCCTAGCTCACAGAGGATCACGCTAGCCAGCGATCATTAAACAAAAGTCTTTATTGAGTTACAGTTTCCATTCTCAAGCTGCTGCGTGCAACTCTACGTCTCATGGTTAGATCGGCGAAGCTCCGTCTGAGTCTCCGCCCCTTGTACACCAACTTAATATCCTAGCCCTGCTCCACCTTTTCCGCCTGACTGTTCTTCTCTGGGTCCCTCTGCCCCCCGGGGTCTCTTCCTTCCGGGATTCCTCTGACGCTGACGCTGACCCCCCTGACTCTTCTCCCTCCTTTCGGCGGGCTTTAGGACCTGGCTCCCTTTCCGGGCTGCCTACTGCGCCACCTTCCTGTGCATTTGAACTTGGCGCGCGCGCCCAACCTTCCACCTTCCGTCTGACCGTTTCTTCGCTCCCCGATGGAGGTGTGGCCACTCCTGACTCGTGCCCTCCCCCCTGTTGTGAGTTGCCAGCGCTTGATCCCTGGCGCCCTTCCTCTTCCCTGCTCTCTGGCGGTGACGCTGGTCCCGATTTCCAACTGCTCCCCTCTGAGTCCCCTCTGGCTCTATCTTCCTGGGGTGTCCCCCTAGGCTCCCCCCTTGCCCTGGCCACTGGTGCTCCTTTCTGTGAATCTTCTGATTCACTGGAAAGACTCGGAGATCTCGGGTCGTCGTCATCACTCATCTTTTCTTCTGCCTCCTCCCCCTCGCTCTCTGTTTCCTCCCTTGCCCTTGCCTCTGCTCCTGAACCCCTGACACACGTTGTGACAAAGGGCATTGCTCAATTCCCCACAGCATTTTCTCTTTAAAAAGGAGGCCACGTGTCTCCTGCTACTTATTAAAAGCCACAGGATACTTTAGGATGCCTACCTGCGGAATGTGACATCGGTTCTCATTAGTCAGAAGGAGTGAGGTGTCACTAAATCCAATGCAGGAGAGGGAAGAGAGTCTTTCAAAGCTGGGCTGCCCTATGCAGCTTTGTCCCCTTATTCCATCGAAGGGTCCACACTGCATTTTACAAGCACTGGGAAGCTCACACGCCTCACTGCTTACTTGCTGGAAGGCTAGCAACACGGTGTTGTTATTGAGTAGGTTGTCAAGTTTTGAAACCCTGGGCTCTTTCTCAGAGCTGTACCTACGGGGGGAGGGGGCACTAGCCAGGTTTTTTGCCCCTGGTGAAGCCTCCAGAGGGGCGCCATTGAGGCTCCCTGCCTGTGTGTATGTGTATTGAAATGTGTGTGAGGGGGTGCCAAACTGGATATTTGACCCGGGTGAAATAAAGCCTAGTTTCACCCCTGCCTTTCTTGTTTCTCAATATTTCTATTTGACCATTTGCCTTGTTGCCATTTTTCTTAATAAAGTTTCAAAATTTGACTAGTGGTGTCTATGCAATTTGCTGACCTCAAAAATCTTGCAATCCCTACAAGCCCAGACTGATTGGCTTTTGTAAGTCTAAGATCAGGGTTCTAAAAACTGGCACATTTTGCCATTCTCTGGGAACAGTGGTAGACCTACATTTTGGGGGCCCTGAAGACTCTTATGGGAGCCCCTTCATGAACCAGCAACAAGGTCTGGGCAGTGGCGTAGCGTGGGTTGTCAGCACCCGGGGCAAGGCAAGTAATTTGCGCCCCCTAACCCGTGGATTTGCGCCCCCTAACCCTAACCCCCAGATGTTGCGCCCGGTGCGGCCGACCCCGCCTGCACCCCCCACGCTACACCACTGGGTCTGGGTAACCACTGTTATCTTCTTTACTGGGGTTGTTTCACGACAGATCACCACACCTTTATAATGTCTGTGCTATTGACTCTCAAACTCTGGGATTGTTGAGCTGCACTACTGCAAACCAGGGATTTGAATTCCTCTGCCTAGGCTTTTTAAGTTGTTTGTACTGGTGTTACTCTCTGTTGTTGGTTTGATTCTGGATTAGTTTTTTAGTTTGTTT